CGGGCACCATTGGCATGGGGGGGGGGGCTGGCAAGAGGGGTGGGAGAGAAATAACCAAACTGTAAATCATGACACAAAACATGCATTCATTTTATTCACAAAAACAGCCTGGATCGCTAAAACATTACAAACAGCATTTCAATTTAATGATGTAGAGAGAGCTGGAGAGACGGGGAGCTGAACAGAAGAGAAATATCACTTTTCAGAACTGCTTCAGCACAGGTCCTGCAACATTGGCTTGATTCTGATTTGAACTTCAGCAAGTTTACAAAAAAATGACTTCTAGGAGTAAACTGTTGCAATTAGGAGGTTTTTCTGTTTGCGGCGTTTCTGCTTCTAGATGAATAAACTAACAATGACTTTTCTCTTTTTTTTTCTGTTGTTTTCTCTTTTTTTTTTTTTAATTCCTTTTTCTTTTTCCTGTTCCAAAGACCACCAGTCGTGCAGCAATTGTTTCCTTCCACCTTTCATACCGAACCTCTTGCAGGTGAAACTTCCACAGGTGAATGGCTAGGAGAAGGGATACTACATCGCTTTAAACATATTCTCATTTATAAACATGAAGTTGAGGCATTCTAGAAACTATCCACTCTATTGTATGATGGGAAAGAATCAAATAAAAAGTATAAATGAGGGTGCAATTAAACAACTGTGCTAAATTACAGTAGTGCTTATTAGTAACTAGATTTTAAAAGGTTACTGTAAATTTACATTCCCTTTTTTTTTTTAACACATAAACAACATCAACACCAAAACACAGAAAGAAACTGATTGTCCATACTCTGTCTATTAAGTCTTGGTACTTTACAGATCCATTGTTTGTTTGTTGGTTTGTTTTTTTTTTAATTTTAATTATTTTTATTTGAAAAGCAGTTAAATGTCTGACTAGGACTCGAGGATGTTAAAACGAACGCAAAAAAAAGAAACCAAAACAAAAACAAAAACCAAAACAACCCAAAATTATAAAAACAGGAATGAGATTTGCGAGAAAATATTTTTGGTTCTAAAGAGACACAGGTGCATCCATTCATTTCAGCCAAAAATCCCTTGCCTGAGACAACACAAGCAAGCAGTGACATTGCACTTGGATGACAGAGCTTTGGGATTCCCGTTCCTACTGGAACCATCTGAACGCGGCTCCTGTAGGAAGCATCACCTTCTGGAAATGAAGAGAGACAGGGAGGGGGACAGAAGAAGGGACAAGGCGTTAGGTCGGGTCCGGCTGTGTCACACCAGGGCTGGGCACCCTCCAGCCCCGTCCTCATCCCAGGCACCAGTCTTGGGACAGATCCAGCCTGGGCTCAGCACCCTCAGACATGGCTGTGCACCCCAAGGCCTCTGGCACCCCCAGACACGGCCATGTATCCCAGGGATTCCAGCACTCCCTGCACACAGCCACATATCCCAAGGATTCCAGCACCCCCCAGCCATGGCCACATATCCCAAGGTCTCCAGCACCCCCTGCACATGTCCCTGCACCCCAGGGTCTCCAGCACCCCCTGCACATGTCCCTGCACCCCAAGGTCTCCAGCACCACCCCCACAGGGCCATGCATCCCAAGGTTTCAGGTGCTGTCCAGGGACAGAGTGGGTGCCCCACCCCAGCAGGGCAGGGCAGCTCAGCCATTGTTGTGGCCATTGTTGTCCCTATGTCACAAGGACAGGGCAACAAGGAGGACAATGGAGCTGAGCCCCCATGGCAAACCCCCCCCTCCAGCACCACCTCCTCTGCCACGGGTGGGTTTACGAGGATATCTGGGGGGAAACTGAGGCAGGGGATTGGGACCACCAGGCCCAGGAGACAACACCTTGCCTGGCCAGGATGAACAACCTTGTCCCCCAACACACAGCCCTGGGCACCACCAGGGAGGGACCTCTCAGCATCTTGCAGGGGTAGAGGAATGAGTCACACTAGAATCAATCCCACTTGCAACAAAGCACCCAAGAACAGATGTGACCTCTTTGAAGCCACCTCCAGGAAAGGTGGTGTGGGACAACAGCCCCAGTGGCTCTGCAGTCCTCTGGAAGGAGAACATGGGATGTTTCCCAGCTGGATGGAGTGGGAAGCCTGTGCAATGTTCATGAGACCATGGGTGGAGTATGCAAGTACTGCAATGTCTCTCAATACCAACAGCACCCAAGCAAGGCCAAGCCATGTTAGCCAGGAGGTAGGACATGCTCAGAGGGCCCTTCTGCTCCTGCACCTCCAGACGAGCCAGGGACACCAAGACAAAAGCCAGCAGCAAGGGTGAGGGGAGTGAGGCTGGGCTGCCACAGGGCAGTGAGGGCACAGCCATCCCAGCACCAGCTCCCAGTGCTGAGCCTGTGTGCAGGGCTGGGCCACCTCATGTGTTGTCCCAAGAGTCAAAACCATGCTCCTTTGGGATCCCTGGCCCCACATAGGAGCAAGGTGGCTCCCATCAGGTCCTTCTCTTGGATCAAGATACCCTCCAGGCCTCAGCAATAACCAGGACAGCATCTTCCCCCACCCTTTAGGAAGGGACCCCAACGTTCTCACTTCCACTGGCACCATGACCCATATGCAGGGCGTTGGCAAGGGAAGGAGGGTGAAGGGTGAGAACGGGCAAGAGATGGAGGTGCCCAATGGGGCTGCTGACAAGATAGACCTTCACCTGTTCCCAGGCTGTGTCTGGTCCTTGGGGCAAACCAAACTGGGTCAGTCAATGAGCAGAGCTGCAGGCATCACCACAGGGACCTCAAAGGTCACCCTCCCTAGTGTGTAACCCAGCATCTGGGTAAGACACAACTGCCTCTGGCCAGTGGTGCACAAGGCTATGGCACTGCATGCCACCCATGCTGGATCCTGCCCAAGGCACCAGATGCAGATCCAACAGGGCACAGTATGATGGATTCACCAGCCAGGGCCACCTACTCAGATACATCATCCCAGGAGAGAGGAATGAGGGGAGAAGGGCTTCCTAACAGGACTGGAAAGAGTTGTCTGGTACAGGTCACCTTAAACACCTCTGCCCCTCCATTATTAAAGGAAGATGGACAACCAGCTCTAATGTGGATGCTCAGAGTAGATCCTCCCTCATCCCCATAGTCATAGAATCACAAAATCATTTGGGTTGGAAGGGACCTTCACAGACCATCCACTCCAACTCCCTGCACTAGATCAGGTTCCTCCAAGTCCTGTCCAACCTCACCTTCAACCTTTCCAACAATGATCCACAACCTCTCTAAGCAACCTGCCCAGTGTCTCACCTTCCTCACCATGAGATGTTTCCTCCTGATGTCCAATCTAACCCCCTCCTCTTGCGGTTTAAAACAGTTGCCCCTCGTCCCATCACAACAGGCCTTGGTGAGAAGTCTCTCCATGCCCCTGGAGGCAGTGACCCTCACACCAGCACTAGCTGGGGCACCAGGGCCCTTCACCAAGGCTTCTCCAGATGGAGGGCAGCTCTTGAGTCAAATCCCAACTATTCCTGGCCTCTGTGTGACCTACAGCTCAGGAGACAAGCCTAGGGTGACATTTCCAGGACTGACCACCCCCAATGGCTTCACCTGGGGTTGCTGGGGATGGCAGAGCCTGGAGGAGCCTGGCCAGTGCAGGAACAGGCTGCCACCTGCTCCAAGCATCCAACCTGCCTTGCTGGTCTGAGAGCCTCAGCCAGGCACCACCATGCTGGGACATCAGCAACAACCAGTTACTGGGGCTGTGTTGATGTGCAGATGAAGCAGAACCACGGCACAGAGATTCAGCCCATTTTTCTACCCTGCCATAAAGGTTTCATTCTGTTTTTTTTTTTTACTGATTGATTTTAGATCAATGTTTAATCACAGCTGCAGCCCCTGTCTGAGCTCTCCGAGGACATTCCTCTGGACACACCAGGCTGGCAGACCAGAGCCACAGCTACTGCTCTTCTCCTGGGCAATACTCCCTGCAGAGGGACGTTGCTTCCCAACACCCTGTGAATTTACAGCCCCATATAAAGGGCCACCCAACGGTCCCTCCCATCTTGGTATCAGGTGCTACGGTGAGATGGCATCCCACCAGGACCAGTGGCCTATGATGCCAGCAGCAGCTCTGTGTCCTGGCCACCTTCATGTCTAGACAAGTCTTCACCTGCTGGTGGTTGCCCTAGAGTTGGCCCAACACAGCACATTACCAAGGCTGGTTGATGTAGGGCAGGGTTTAACAACCCAGTCATTGACCCAGGTAACCCTGGGACATCAGCCAAGGTCCCAGCATCCCTGTCCCAGCCACACAGCCACGATCCTTCTTCAGCTCTACCAAGGTCAACACAAGTGAATATCCTGAGAGAGGGGAGGATCTGCTCTGAAAAGGGGATGGTGATGCCCTGGAGCAACCCACATCTGCCCAGGCATCCATCTGCACCAGCACAACATCTCCCCTCAACCTCAACACATCTACGGTGGTGCCCAGGAGGGATGGGGACCCATCTGTGGTGGGGCCCAATTCTATCACATGAAGAGCCCTATTTCAGTGGCTCCAATTTCTCAGCCAGCTGCGCTATGGGGAAACCAATCAAGGGGTGACTGTTTCATGGGCTCCTGGTGCTATTTATCATCCCTGCACCCAGAGCAGCGCCGGGAGAAGGGAACGACTGCTCTGGCTGCTGCAAGCTCCGAGTCTATTGACCCGCTTTAGGACTCTTTGGAAGAGATGAACTTTTTTTTTTTTTTTCCCTTTCTCCCTTTTTCCAGATCACTGACTCAGCAAATTAGAACAAGAATATAATTTAGCAATACAGCGGTTTTTGAAAGACACAGTCCTCCCTTCTCCTCGTCCCCACCACCCAAACAGAGACTTTTATTTATTTTTTTTCCCTTCAGGATTCATTCAGAGCTGCTGCTAATTGAAAAACGTAGAATGTGGCTGAGAAAATAGTGGGTTGTCTCTTTGGGATGACCAGAGGATGGGCAATGCCCTCGTGCCAGGCTGCGTGATCCAGCTGATATCCCAGTGGCTTCTGAGCCTCTGCCAGCACTGGGGATGCGCTGGTGGGCAGGAAGAAGCCCCCTGGTGCAGCTGATGATCCCAAACAATCCAAACCCGACTGGAGCACAACACACAGGGGACCCAACAGACAGGAGTTGGCCCAAAGCACCCACAGGTGTGCAGCAAGAGGCAGACTCTGTCTGAGAGTCCCTGCACCCCAGCCAGCATCCGGCCCTCGCCCATGCCCTGGCACAACCACACCATGCCCTGGCACACTACACCACGCCATGGCACACCGAGTCATAGCACCCCACCCCACCAGCAGCTGCCCACAGCCATGGTTGAATTTCACACCCTCCGTGCCTCCCCAAGTCACCGGGCTGGGGGATGCTGGGGATCCCAGGCAGGAGCAGCGGGAGCAGGGATGGTCCCAGCTCAGTGGGATGCTGAAGCCAGCACAGGGATGCAGCTCACCTTGCCCTGGGAAATCTGGCTGCTGCCTGATGGACTCATCCTGACCATCCCAGACTGATGCCAGCCCAGGGAGACACAGCACAGCCACAGCACAGGAGATGCTGCCCAGCGCCTGCTGCAGCTATCTGCCCCCAAAACCATGGACCACACAGGGTGAAGAGTGATCCAAGGGGCTGGGCTCCAGCTGCACCACAGGCATGGGTTTCACTGTCACTGTCACCCCTGAGCTCTGCCCCTACAAGCCACCTCCTGAGCCCATCACCGGCTTAGATGGTGCCTGGCTTGGGGTGCTGCATGATCCCCCAGGACAGAGGATGTTGAACCTGCTGCTGCCTGTGCCCACAGAGAACCCTGCACCCCTGGGACCCCAGGGGGATATCCCAGCCCCGGTACATAAGAGAAGGCAGGGACTGGGGGCACTGGGCAGAGGACACATCTGAACGGTGAGAACTGTTAACGGAAGAGGGAAAAATAAAAAAAAAAAAGTAAAAAGTACCAGGTGTTTTATTATCTAGGGCAAGATCCAAACCCAGGAGCGCAGCCCGAAGGAGGGGTTAGGGTGCCTGAGAGGGGCCGGTTACCTCCAGTGCTGCAGAAGGCTTCTTTTTGAGTTCTTCACATTTTCGGAATTTGCAAATCTGGTGCCCAGTTTTGCGGTTCCTACAACTGCTGCACTGCTCGCAGTTTATCCGTCTTCGGCAGGGCGGGCACATCCCGCACCGTTTCCGTTTCTTTTTCCCCGAGTTGATGGCAGATGCCAACTCATTCTGCATGGGGTACTCTGCCAAGCCGGCCATATGGAGCGCGCTCTCTGCCAGGAAGACGCCGGCGGGGGTCATAATGAAAAGGCCCGGGTTGATGGGAAAAGCCCCCAGGTAAGGAAAATCAGAGGGGCCGTTCATTGTCTCTGCAGCTGAGACCGCCTCCATGTCAGAGATCCCAGTCCCGTGGTCGCTTGCGAGAGGAAGATGCTCCTGAACCACCCTTTTGAGCATTTCTGTGGACTGAGCAAACTGCTGTAGGGCGGCCTGTCCTTCCGAGGAGAGCTCCGACACCCGGTCTAATTTGCTCAGCATACTAGAGATGCTTTTGTGCTTTGAGGTAGAGTGACTTTTATCCACAGTCGCTTCGTTGCCATTAGCTAAGGGGTTGCCTTTCTCTGAATGTTCGCTTACTGAGCTGCTGCTACCAAAGGTGGAATAGTGGGACAGTGGACGGGACTTCTTAAGACTTTTGTTCAAAGGTTCACTTATTATTCCACTTTTGTTCCTCCTCTCGGAGTTAACGGGGGGTTGAGAGTCATCCTGGTTATTATTTTTTTCCGTCTCTGGCTTGTTCCCAGTGTCTTGATGGGAGCCCGAATTGGACATGATGCCCGGAGCACAACAAAATCCAACCCAAAATTGGGGGGGGGGGGAAAAAAGGGGAAAAAAAAAAAAAAAAAAGGGCAAAAAAACCCCCCCAAAATCCCACCCCCAACACCAAAGCCAAAGACCCCCAAAGCCTTTCTGGTAGCACTGGCCCGCCAGCCACCAGGGAGAGCTCAGATGGGAACACTCATCAAGCGGGCGTCTCTTCCAGCGCCAGCAGCAGAGGACTTCAGTCCAACCTCAGTGCAGAGACATAGTCTGCAGCTCTGGAACACAACACGCGGCTCTGGAAGCAGAAAAGACAAGAGAGTCAGCACTGGTGAGAGCCAATGGGCTTTTCAAAGCAGCTCTTCCTCCCCCTGCCATGAAAGTCTCAGCTCTGCGAACAAAGAAACTCCAGGGAATGGACCTCGGTGGAGATCCGTTCCGCTGCTCTTTCAAAGGGTCTCCATGCAGACAGAAATGGGGACTGACAGGGGCAGTCGTGGCCCCCCTGGCAATGGCACTCTGATGCTTAAAGGCTCTCTGTGCCCAACTGTCCTCCCCCAGGCGCTGCAGCCCCCGGGAAGGCACGAGGCTCATCTCCTGCTCCACTCCAGCAACCCCCTCGTCAGATGGGACCACAGATGCCCTCAGGATGTCCCCAAGCCAGACCTCATGCCAGGGGTGCCTAGTCCCCACCCTTCAGCTGCCCATGTTCCCCAGCTGGGTGCCAGGGGTGCATGGCTGTGCTCACACAGCCCTGCCAGGTGATGCTGCTTGCCCAGCTCAGGCCAGATGACACCCCTCACACTCCTCCTCATCCCGGACCCTTGTTCCTGGGTCAGCACTGCACACCAGCCACATGGGGACCTTCAGTGGCCACATCCAAGTTACACAGGGAGCCACAGCGTCCACCTCCAAACCTCACGGGCAGCCAGGGTGTCTGCCCCCAAACCCCATAGTGAGCTGCAGCACCCACTTCCAAGCCCCATGAGGAGCTGCAGCATCCCCCTTCAAACCCCACAGGGAACCACAGCGTTCACCTCTAAGACCCAAGCGATGCATCGTCCACCTCCAAGTCCCCTGGGAAGCTGCAGCATCTGCCTCCAAACCTCGTGAGCAGCCGTGGTGTCTGCTTCCCCCCCCCACACTGA